CCTGAGTAGCTGGGATTACAGGCACGTGCCACCATGCCCAGCTAAATTTTTGTATTTTTAGTAGAGACGGGGTTTCACCATGTTGACCAGGATGGTCTCGATCTCTTGACCTCGTGATCCACCCGCCTCGGCCTCCCAAAGTGCTGGGATTACAGGCTTGAGCCACCGCGCCCGGCCCTATTAATTTTTTTTTGAGACAGAGTCTCACTCCATTGTGATTCTCCTGCCTCAGCGTCCCCAGTAGCTAGGATTACAGGTGCATGCCACCATACTTGGCTAATTTTTGTATTTTTAGTAGAGATGGGATTTACCATATTGGCCAGGCTGGTCTCAAACTCCTGGCCTCAGGTGATCCACTCACCCCCGCCCAGCCTGTTAACTTCTAACTCAATTGCATTGTTCTCAAGGAACGTGTTCTACATAATACCTATTCTTTAAATTTGGTTTAGATTTGCTTGATGCCTTATATGATCATATGTGCTTAAGAAGGCAATGCATACTTTAAGTGCTGGGTACAGAATCTGGCAGTGTTAGATACTCCAGCTTCTCAATACTGTCTTTTCTCAGTCTCCACAGTACTACCCTCCACTAGTATTTTTGCCACCTCTCAGACTATTTCTTTTCTATTCCTTGCACTGGCTTCTCTTCCTTTGTTTTACCTGTAAGACCTCTAATCCTCAGATCTTCCTATCTTTCCTGTCTTCCTGCTTTTCACCCTCCTCTCTGGATAATTTAATTCACACTGTGGCTGCAGTTGTCATCTATGTTATCATGACTCACAAAGCAGCCTAATCTAGAACTCTCTCCTGAGCCCCAGGAACATATTTGTAGCTGCATACTGGATAGCTCCAACTTGCTGTTCTGTTTCAAAGTTCAAGAGATTCACTCTTACCTGTATCCTTGATCTTAGCTTAGAAACCTTGCCACTCCCTCTTCCTTACCTTCCACACTAATCTAGTGCCAAGTCTTGTCCATTCTTCTCAGGCACCTCTCTTGAATCGGGCTTCTCCTCTGCATCTCCACTGCTATTCTTTTCATCCCAATACACATTCCGTCTTGCCTGAACATTGTTGCCAGGGTAATTTTTCTATAAATAGTGTTTTCTTGCTCTAAAAGCTTTACCGACTCTATTTTCAGCCCACAGCATGAAATGTAAGTGGGCCCCAACCTACTTTTCAGCATTATCTCTCAACCCCAAATCACCACTGCACACACTGAACCCCTGCCACATGAGCTCCTCACAGATCCCCGGACTGTAGGAGATGTTTATGTCTCTGGGTCTTTGGACATGGTTCTACCTGGAAACTTGGAATGCTATTGTCTCTCTATCCTCACTCACACCCTTAACCCAGTACATAGGAGAGCAAATGTGTATGCACACACACATACACACAAACATACATTTATCTGGAAAATTCTACTCATGTGCAAGCAAGGTTAGAATATGTAAAAAAAAAAAAAAAAAAAAAAAAAAAAACTTGAAAAAAGGTTTATTATTCTGCAGATGCTGACACTTGATGATTAACAAAATTTTAGTTGGAGACAAACAGGTGGGTAGGGAGAAGGCAGGAAACAGGAAGTAACATGTCAGCAAATAGTTGCCTTCTCTTCATCATCTCTCTACTGACTTGTTAGGAAATTTTCTTAAGCCACCATAAAATAACATGTTCAATTCCACTTCTTCTCAGACACCTCGCTGCCCAGGCATTTGGCTAATTAGATGACTCTATATTCCAATTCACTTTCATGTTACTTTCCCCTGGGATTGGTCACCTGGTAACCCTGATACCAGGCTTGTCTTTCTGGTAATTATGTTGTTTGTATTCTCTAATAATTATCACCTGTTGAGTTTTCCTGAAGTTTATATTTATTTCTAAACCTACAATATGTGAACATAAAGAAATATGTTATTTTCATAGGCTCATGTATAGTGTATATTCATATAAGAATATTTACCAGATATTTATTAGTAAGAAGATAAGTTCTGAGTTTTGTTCAATTTCCTGCCAGATGAAAATGACCCTCTACATACCAGTGTTTGTCCATGTGAGTATGGCTTTATGTGATTTTGACACATAAAGTAAGCTAATTCTTTATATTTTTGTGGGTGGTCAAGAGTAAGATTCAATGTCATTTCACAGATCAGGATTAAAAGATTTTAGGCTGGGCACAGTGGCTCACACCTATAATCCCAACACTTTGGGAGGCCGAGGCAGGTGGATCACCTGAGATCAGGAGTTTGAGACCAGCCTAGCCAATGTTGAAATCCCATCTCTACTAAAAATTTTTTAAAAAATCAGTTGAATATGGTGGCATACGCCTGTAATCCCAGGTACTCAGGAGGCTGAAGCAGAAGGACTGCTTGAACCAGGGAAGCTGAGGTTGCAGTGAACCAAGATGGCACCACGGCACTCCAGCCTGGGTGACAGAGCAAGACTCCAACTCAAAAAAAAAAGTCCACTTCCTTCTTTGGTTTTTCATCATCTTTGGCATTTAGGAGTTGCTGTGCCCTTTCACGGAACAGATAGAGTCTTTAAAGTATTTGGTGATGTTCATGTTGCTTATTATTAAAGCAGAGCACTAGAAATACCTGGCAAGACTCTCAGAATTCCCAAAATAAAAAAGCTTGAGCCCAGATTAATAGTTCTTGATAGAGTTATACTTACAAGGGTCACTGCCACATGACAGTTCAATATAACTTGTTCAGCCACACTCCATGACATACAGCTGTGGTAAATATTAAGGAATAAATGAACTAGAGTTGGTAATGCTGTTACCTTGGTTATTCAATTCACACAAGCTAATATAATTCTAGGTATAAAAGCCATTTTAACTGAGTGTGGTGGCACATGCTGGTAGTGCCAGTTACTTGACTGAAGGGAGGATTGCTTATGCCCAGGAGTTCTAGGCTGTAGTGCCTGAAGCTCCACTGGGCGTCTGCGCTAAGTCCGGCATCAATATGGTGACCTCTTGTGAGCAGGGGACCATCAGGTTGCCTGAGGAGTAGTGAACTGCCCCAGGTTAGAAACTTCTGTCAAAACTCCCGTGCTGATCAGTAGTGAGATGGTGCCTATGAACAGTCACTGCACCCCAGCCTGGGCAATATATCAAGACCCTGTCTCAAAAATAAATTAATTAATTTAATTAACTTTCTTAAAGTCAGTTAAGCTAAAATATAGGGTTGAAGAAAATGTCAGCAAAACTAGAATAATAGCTAATGTTTACATAGTAAGTACTTGTAAACTGCCAGGCACAGACCTAAGTGCTTTAGAAATATTATCACATTTAACCCTCCCAACAACCTGATGTAATAGTTACTATTAAATCACCAATTTACATATAAGGAAACAGAAACTTAGGAAAGTTAAACAAGTCACTCAATCTTACAAACATGATCAATGGAAGAGCACAAGTGTCCAGAATCCTTACTCTTTCCCATTTTGCTGTTCTGCCTCTAATATATTGGACACAGCAACTGAAATTTGAACTAGGAACTGAAAGTTGAGTATGATTTTCCCGGTAGAGGAAAGGGAATGGGCACTTTTTTCTGGCTGGAAGAGATGGGGGAGCTGGTAAAGAGTCACAGAAGTGGGAGGGATTTTCTTCCAAGAGGAGCAAATACACTGTGCCTTGTGCATACAATGTGACAGTGCTGGAAGATGAGATTGGAAGGGACACTTGGGCCCTGTCTGTTAGGGCTCTTCTGCATGTAGGAATTTTGACTTGACTCTAAAGACACTGGCTAGTCAATGAAGGCTTACATTAGAGAATGAGAGCTCAAATGTCAGTGTGGAGGGTATATTAGATGCATATTAAGGAATACTTCTTAATAATCCAGACAAGAGGTGATGGTGAACTAAACTAAGGTGGGAGCTCTCAAAGTAATAAAGATATAGACCTTGGAGGTGTAAAAGAAGAAATATTCTCCCCACCTTCCCCAGGCGCACAGGTGCAAGCCCTTCAGTGGGCTGCTGGGTACGTGCAAAAGTGGTAAGTGGTCAGCAAAAGAATGCTGTCCTGAGTTTTTCACACTTCAGCAATTTTTCTTGCTGTGAGTTCTTTACCAATCCAGATGGGGAATCATCACTTGTGACTTCAGAGGAAAGAGTAATTGTAAAATTCATTAAGTTTCTGAATGAAAATGTGTAATGTCTTCCAAGAAAATAATTAAACCACCATGGGGCAAAGACTCTCTTCTTTACAATTTAAAATTATGAAGTGGGTCATTGCTTAGTGTCTCATTTCTCATTTACA